TGGACCAGCCCCGTGCGCCATGGCATGGGCCAGACCTGGGGTCCCGTCTCCTGGGCCGGCCATGCGGCCTCTGCACCCCCAAGACTGAGCCTCTGGCCCCAGCTGCCTGGGTCCCCCCCGAGCTCTGCCCAGCGCGTCCAGCTGAGAGACCCTGGGGAGCCGTGTCCCCTCCCGGAGCCGCAGGGACCCCCAGCAGCCGGGTTTACCAGTTGCCTGGCCCAGCACAGTCCAGCCCCCAGCCGCGCTGCCTCGGCTCCGTCTCTGCCCGCGTGCCCCAGGGCGACGTCGCTCGTAATCCTCCCAATCCAACCCCTTCCCTGCCGGGGCCTTCGCTCTGCTCCCTGGGGGCGTCTCCAGCCCCTTCCCCCGCCCGGGGGCCTGGCCGCCCCCACAGGGACTGTGGCTCCGAGGGCAGGGTGGGCGCCCGTAGCTCCAGTGCCAGCCAAGGGTGCTGGGCTTGGGCCTAGGCACTGGGAGGTGCTGGCGGCCCAGGGTCGGGGTGCACAGAGCTCCTGGAGCCACTGGCCCCCCACCTGGACACAGCAGGGCCAGGCTCAGCCTCCCATGGGCACGGCGGCGCCAGTTCCTGCCCGTGCCAGCTGCGGGGCCCCGCGGTGAGCCGCCCGGCCCCCTGACGCCCGTCTCCGCCCGCGACAGGTTCGAGGGCACCATCGCTGCGCAGTTCTTCGGGCACACGCACGTGGACGAGTTCGAGATGTTCTACGACGAGGAGACGCTCTCGCGCCCCGTCTCCGTGGCCTTCGTGGCCCCCAGCGTCACCACCTACATCAACCTCAACCCCGGTGAGTCCAGCCCCCGGCGCTGCGGCCGGCCCCGGCCGGGCCCCCGCTGTGCCGCAGGGGGTGACGCTCTGCTCTCCCCCCCCCCCCCCCCCACAGGCTACCGCGTCTACCAGCTGGACGGCGACTACCCCGGCAGCTCCCACATGGTCCTGGATCACGAGACCTTCATCCTGAACCTGACGGAGGCCAATGCGCCGGGGGCCGAGCCGCGCTGGCAGCGCCTGTACCGGGCCCGCCAGGCCTACGGGCTGCCCAGTGTCTTCCCGTCCGACTGGGACGGGCTCCTGCGGCGCTTCCAGGCTGACGAGCGGCTCTTCCAGCATTTCTGGTTCCTCTTCCACAAGGGCCACCCGCCCCGGGAGCCCTGCCGCGAGGCCTGCAAAGCGGCTCTGCTCTGTGCCCTGCGCTCCGGCCGCTCCGCCGACCCCGGCCTCTGCCACGCCCTGCACCCCCGACTGCCCTTCGCCCGCGTCCAGGCCCTGTGGCGCCAGCGGCGGCTGTGCTGAGCCGGGGCAGGGGCTGTGCCAAGCCGGGACTCGGGCGGGCGGGGGCTGAGCCAGGCTGGGGGGGGGGCGGGGCGGGGACTCGGGGGGGGGGGGGGGGCGGGGGGGGGGGGGCTGCAGAGGCTTCGCCGCCTGGATGGGGCGGGGCTGGTGGCTCCGGCCCCTCAATAAAAGGAGAGGGAGAGGAAGACGGATGTGTTGTTGGTGCTGGGAGGTCTGAGCTGGGGGGGGGGAGCGGCCTGGGCTGGAACTCGGAGAGGGGCTGTGCCGAGCTGGGACTTGGGGCTGGGCTGGGACTCGGGGAGGGGCTGTGCCGAGCTGGGACTTGGAGGGGGGGTAGTGAGCTGGACTGTCGGGGGGCTGGGCTGAGACGGGGGGGGGGGCGGGGGCGGGCGGGGTGTGGGGGGGGGGGGGGGTGGGGGGGGGTGGGGGGGGGGCAGAGCCGGGGCTGCTGCTGCTCAGACTTCCTGGCGTTCTCGGCCACGGGGTCTGGCCGGCTGGGCATAGCCTGGCCCCAGGGCGGCTCGTCCCCTGGGCCCCTCTGCAGGATCGGGGCCCTCTCCCCTGCCACTGATGGGGGTGGGGTGGGCAGTGGGGCCAGGTCTGGCCACCCCACTGAGCTGCAGGCACCAGATTCAGCCCAGGAATTGCGCCCCCCCCCCCCCCCCCCCCCCGCCGGCCCCGCCCCCTCCCCACCCCCCCCGGCGGCGCACAGATTGAGCTGGGCTGGGCGCTTGGGCGGTTTATTAACGAGTTCGTACAACACCCACCTCGTGACAGCGGCTCCCAGGGCCGCACCCCTGGCCCCCAGCACGAACCAGCGGGTCACATGCGGGGGGAGGGGCTGAGCCAGGATCCCCCCCTCAGGGCCCAGCACAGAGCCGGGACGGGAGGGGGGAGGGCAGGCAGCCCAGGCGCTGTGGGGAGAGGCCGGGGGGCTGCGTGCAGGGGGGGGTCTCACGGCGTCTGTGCCCCGAGGCGTTGGGGCTTCAGGCTGCCCAGCAGGCTGCGGACACCCCTGCGGACGGTGGAGCCCACGCGCCGGGCCATGGAGTCTGCGGGCGGCGCCGGCAAGCAGGAGCTGGGGGCCTGGGGCCGGGCGTCGAGGCACTTCTGATAGCGCAGCTGCGGGGAGACGGGGTTACCAGCTGGGGAGAGTGGGGAGCAGCCCCCCCCCCGAAACAGCCCACCCACCCACACCCCTCCCCCCACCACCCAGAGGGAGGGGGGCATGCCCCCTGCAGCCTGTGGGTCCCAGGGTGGGAAGGGCAGGGATGGGGCAGACCCCAGGTGCACGGTCCTGGGGGGG